ACCTCCGTCTTGTCCGGGTTCAGCCTCAGCCCGTTCTCCTGCATCCATTGCAGTACGGTCCCCAGGCAGCGCTGAAGGGATAGAACGGCATCTCCTGCGGTAGGTGGAAAGGAGATGTAGAGCTGAGTATCATCAGCGTACTGATGACACTGGGCTCCACACCCCCGGATGACCCCTCCCAGCGGCCTCATATAGATGTTGAACAGCATTGGGGAGATAATCAACCCCTGTGGAACCCCACAATTGAGAATCCACAGGGCCGGGACACTCTCCCCAAGCTGTACTCTCTGGGGACGGTCCTCCAAGAAGGAGCGGAGCCAGACCAGTGCAAGGCCCCCGATTCCCAACTCAGAGAGCCTCCCCAGGAGGATACCGTGGTCAATGGTATCAAAGGCTGCTGAGATGTCAAGGAGGACCAGCAGGGACACTTTTCCCCTGTCGACCTCCCTCAGTAGGAATTACACCTGTTGTAATTTAAAATTTGAAACTTTCAGTTCATCAGAGATGAATATGTCAGTTTTCAGGGATACATATTTATGAGACACCAGCATTATCAGGAAATGTAAACAGTTTAATGAAAGCACTGATCAGTACTATTTCCATTATTACAACTTAGTGCAGAATTTCTAAATTTTGTGATTGATATTAGGTTCTTTTCAGGAGAAAGGTAAAGTATATGTGTATGTATGAATGAATAAATAAAATAAATTAAGGCCCCAAATGCTGGAAGCTGCATAGTGTTTGCTGAGTGATTGCTTATGCAGTGATTGTTTGCCTTTTCTGCTATGTTGTAATTGACAGGTCAGTAAGGTTTCTTGGCATTATGACGGTGGTGCTGAAATTTGAGTAGACGTGTTGTACTATGATTATAAACAAACAAGCAACAGATCAGCTACTTTAGAGAAGGATCTGGATGAAAATAATTACATTATGTACCCTTACCCTCACTATTTTTTGTTTGCTTTTCTGGCAAAAGTTCTGTTATCCAAAAAAGTAATGCCTAAATTGGCTTTGTTTCCCAATGATGAGTGGATGGTTCAGTAGAGTGACAAAAACCTGGTCTCTTCTGTGAAGCAGCCACCAGTCTGGAATTCAGAACTAAGAACTTTGGTCAGTCCAAGGGTAGAGCCATACATTTTACAGTGTAAGTTAGTGTAAATCCCTTGACCAGTACCATTAGATTAATTATGGTTTCTTTGTACAGCTACAATCTAGAATCTTATTCTGTGGCCTTTTACTTGTCTCAGCTGAAAGTCTCTTGTTAGTTGTTGGGAAGACCTAAGAAACAGTTCTTCCTAACTGACTCTGTACTTCTATACAGTATTTGTGTTTTTGTTTTCCCTCAGGAATGCTCCCTGTTAGAGACTATTCTTGCATCTAATATGATCACTACTCTCCTAGCTATGGATGCTTGGTGCTTCCTTGCCCGGTAAGCTGGAAAAGAATTCAAGGATCGATAGTTGTAGCAAAGGCCTGAGTTGGTCTTTTGTGGGAGACTTAAAACTATACTGGAAAATTACCCTTTCTTTGAGAAGAAAACATGTATTTTCTTTGAGAAGAATGGCATGTATGGCAGTAACTCATGCTTCCCTCTTGCATCATACTTGTTAAAATAGTTTGCTAGACACATTAATAGGCTTGAAGACTGGACCCAAGTGGTCTTCTTTGTGATCTTTGTGATTCATACGATGGGTTTTCCTGCCCTCTGTGGAGTCTTCCTTGGAATTTTCCAGAGTCTAAAAGTCATTAGCACATGTTCCTCCACTCAACGGTTAACCTTCAGTTCCATTTTGACTGCTGCTAAAGCTGCACTGCAACAGCATTCTTGAGCCAATTTTCAACTGTTGTTGTGAATACTTACCTATTTCCTTCATCATTTTTGTCTTGTTGTTAGTCTTCCACCCTATGTTTCTAAAAAGAAAAAAGAAAAGTTGTATTCACCATCCATTCATTCTGCTGTTTGTATCCTTAGCAAACCTGTTTAAGAAGTGTGTCACCTGTGAAAATAAAATCCCTCTCACAAAAGGACACTCAAAGTGCCTTTATTGCTTAGGAGAGAATCACCAGACAAAAACTGACCAGAATTGGAAAATGTTTTGCAAGGGTAGTGATTTAAAAAAAATCCAGACTGACATTTTATCTGTGGGAGAAGTCATTGCAGACTGTCAATGTCATCTCTAAGCAGACTTCAGTGCTAGCATCCACAATTTCTGTTTGTATGACACTATCAAAGAAGGTACTTATGGAAGCCTTACAGTTTGAAATGACTCCAATACATACACAAGAGGAGACCAGGCCCTCACAGCATTGAACATCGATAATGGGGATAGTCTTAAAACAGTCAACATGGAAAAAAGCGGCCTTGGTGTAGAAAAAGAACAGCCAGTCTATGGAACCAAGTCATACTAAGATGCCAAATGGTAAAGACTAAACAGAAGAAACAGCTGGTCACAGTGAGACCTCCATCACCATGGAGCAGGGGAGTATATGGTCCAGGAAACATCTGCTGCTGCTGCTGCATCCCTGCCCCTGCTGAACTTCAGCCTTTTGGACCAGGGCTTTTCTGCAGGACCACAACCTCCCACCTCTGGACTATTGAGGCAGGTACCTTCCTTCCTTCCTCCTCTCTTCCTTCTCTGACTTTTAAACCCTGGCTGGGGAGATGCTGCTACTGCCAGTGTTCTTGGGTGGAGGAAAAGAAGGTCCTTGTGTCATCTGCCAGGGTGGGGGCATGTGTGGGCCAGGAAATGTTGTTGTGTCCCTCCACTTTCCTTGAGGAACTTTGTTTTGTTGGACTGCTGCTTTTATACACCTGGACTGTGAGGCAGCTGTCTCCCAACTCTAATAACATGAGTAGCCATTATGCCAACCCTCTGGGTTGAAGGTGCTGTTGCTAAATGCCAAGTCAGTAAAAGGTAAGCTAACATCCAGGATTTGGTCCTCGATGAACATGCTGACCTGGCTTGCAATACAGAGGCCTGATTGAATGAAGCTGGGAGAGTCAGTTTCTCTCAGCTTTGTCCACCTGAGTCCTCTGTGCAACAGCAGGCCAGACCTAGGTGGCAGGGAGGAGGAGTTGCAATAGTATACTAAGATTCAGTCACCCTTGCCAGGTGCCCTGCCTCACAACTGCTGAGTTTGAATGCATGTACCTGACAGAAGGTGCCCAGAACAGGACAGGGATTCTGTTGGTTTATCACCCATACCTCTGCACAGAAGTCTCCTTGCCTGATCAGGTGTCTTGTGGTGCTGCAGTCACCTCAGCTTGTTGAACTGGAGGACTTCAATATCCGAACAGAGACCA